TACAGGTCAAAAAATAGGTCAAATTAGACATAGATTTTGACGTAATGCGAGGTCGTTATTTATCCTCTTTTTGACCTATAGGTCAAAAAATAAGTCAATTTTGACATAAGTTTTGACGGCCCCTTTGGGATAGGGCGCCCTTACAGAATCTTGAAACAGCGGTGACAGCGGTGACAGCGGCGACAGCGATATATTTTTGTAATATAGGGAGATAGATATATATATATATATATAAGATTACATTGCAGGAAATTTCATGGAAATTTAAGAAACTCGTCCGGAAAAATTCGGGAATTTCTTAGTTCTATTACGGGAAGTTGAGGGCGCTCACTCTGGCAACACTGACTACAACTCCGGCCATATTAAAAATTTAAAAATAATTTTAACTGTTTTGAAAAAATAATTCTGTGTAAATAAAGTAAAAAGGCCAAATTATTTATGATTTTATTTCTGAATTATTTTTTCAAAACAAATTATAAAAAAAGTTTATATTCATAAACTTTTTTTATAAATAGTTTATAAATATAAATTTATTGAAAAAAATTAATATTTTACTTTTCAGTTGTTCATTTTTTATTTTTATTAAATTTAATAATAACAATTTAACATAATTGTCTAATTTTGTAAATAATAAATTATTTAAACAAATTAAAATTATAAACAAAATTTAAACTTTAATCTCAATAATAATCCCAGTAAAAAAAAACTAATTCAAACGGATTGAAATGAATTAAAATTTTTGGTAGAAAGCGGGATTCATTCAAGCTCTTTGTATATTCGATTGAATTCGATTCAATTTGCCTGAAGTTGTGCAAACGAATTCGCATTCGTAAGAAATGATCAAGGCATGCATTGAATTCGTGCTGACAATTTAAAAAAAATTAAAGGCCCCAAAACTTGTCCATTGAATTAGTATGAATAGAAGGTTTGGAAGTTCAATACAGTTTTACGAATTCAGGAAAATTGCAACATAGCTCCAATTTGTATTTGTCACATAGCGGGATTGACTGAAACTCTTTGTAAATTCTTTTTAATTTATTTCAATTAGTTTTTGTTTACTGGGATTTGGTTCCTATTAAAATACTATTATACTTCTTACTATGAATAAAAAATTATTAAAAAATTACCACGTAATTTAAGAATTACGTAAAATGTTAAATGCAATAAGTAAAGTAATTTAATTTAATTATTAAAAATTTAGTTTTATTTATTTTATTTCAATTTATTATTTCTAACGTATCCCTATTTTTTTCTCATCTTTGACTCAATAATTGTATGTCTGAATGATACTGAGATATTAATACTTTACTGTACACATGTGTCGTTAGCATAGTGGTTAGAGCGTTAGTCTGTTAGTCCGTCGGTCGTAGGTCGTAGGTTCGATTCCCCTCGTCAGCAATTTTGTTTATTTTCATAGGTTTGCGATATTTCTAGATTCCAATCGTTAGGTACTAAAATATGCAAATCTAATGCACACTTACTGTAATTGTTTATTATTTAATTTTTAAATGTTATAAACAATTTTTTTCTACTTCATTTACTATATCCATATTGTTAGTCTCCATCTTTAATACAATTTCTTTAAGAAGAGAAATATTTTATGAATAATAACTATTTATTAATATTATTTACCATTTTCTTGTTAAATTATTTATAATTATGAATTTACGACTAATTAATAACAATACGGCATTTATTGCGGCAATATTCTCGGCAGCACCAGACGGCGTTATCATCCCAGTGTCATGCCAGTGCTGGCTCTCAGCCTTGCCGCCAGTGCTGCCAGTGCTGGCGCAGTACTACGCCAGTTGTAAATTTCCCATTGGGGTGGTATTAGTGTGCATGAACCGCATTCTAAAGTAGAAAAACTATACAAAATAACCTAAATGTGTTGTTTAAGAATTAAAAGTAAACTTGTGAAATAAAAGTTTATGTAAATAATTTATAATATGTAAATAATTTATAATGGATAAATTTTACATGTTTGTGTTATTTTTGTGAATGAATCATGTAAACAATATAAATTTTTTCAATTTAATCTTCGTTTCACTTTTTCTGTCTGTTCACACTTTAAAGTTAGTTTTTGTGTATGCTTTTGTTTTTTTCTTTACAAAATATTGTTTCACAAATTGAAAGTATGCAATTTTTTAAGATTTAAAATAAAATAATATTTAAAATTATAAAATTACAAAAAATTTTGATTTAACAAATAAATTTTCTTTATTATATATGCTTTTTTTGCAAAAATAGGAAATATATCCCTTTATTATGCATATTTTTTATTTTTCAATAACAATATTGTTCACAAACTGATTATTTTCTTTAAAGAAAAATATTACATATTCCAGTTTCTTAACATTTTGTAGAAAATTCTTAATTTACAAATGCTTTAATAATATTAAAAGTTTTTTATAAATAAGGGAAAAAAATGTTGATAAATTCGTCAATTATACAAATTTTAATTGAAAATAGATTTGAAAGTTTTTAAAAAATAAAGAAAAAAACTTTAATCAAAAAAATGTTGTTACATTTATTTACGAATTTCTTTAATTGTAAAATTATTCGTAATAATATCAGTAACTTCTATTTAAATAAATATTTGATTGTTATTATTTTTTCATTATTTTATTATTTTTAAAAATAATTTAATTTTTGTAATCATTTTGTAACGTACGTCTACAAAATTCAATGTATTTAGTGTTTTCAACTAAAATTCTTTTATAAATTCATTATTTTTAATAATTAATTAAATATGTATTGCCAAATTTAACTAATTTCAAAAGAATTTGAATTATCAAAATTTTTCAAAAATAAAAAATTTTATAAAATTTTAAATTAAATTCGTTCAAAATTAAAATTTTTTTAAATTTCGAATTGAAACCGCTTAAAGTCAATTTGTTTATGAAAATTGTAAACGCAAAATTGAATTGATTTTGAAATATATTTAAATGAACGGATAACTATTTGTATTTTTTTCATATGTCAAGTTCTCTTCCTCCTCAATTATGATTGGCAGATAAGTATTTGGAAACGACGGCAACAATTTATGAATGTCGCACACGGAAATTTTCGAACAACCTATCTCGAACGGTCATTGAGAATAGACTTTCAGAGTCGCATGCGACATTAACCATTCGACATTTTACGCATGCGAGAATTGTCGAATGCTTTCGAGAATACAGACCCAGAACTGTGCGTAAATGCGTCGTGCACAACGATACGCCTATGGCTGTTTTCGGCGTTCACTCGGCGTTAACACCAAGTTAATTCCTATTGGATAGTTCAAACAGAATGTTAATAAATATTATTGCTGATTGGACTTTCGTTACCTTGGTGTTAATACTGGGTAAACGCCGAAAACAGCCTATATATTTCAACCATGGGTGTGAGTGCGCCATTACAATTATTTTACCAATTACATTTCTTATGAATATTTTGTACTATATTGTTTGTTATTGTTATAAACAAATTAAATTAACAAAATGTAAGGAATTTTTTACTAAGTCCATGTGGACATTTGCTTTGATCCCTCCTCCCCCATCGTGGACAATCGTGGATTTTTGACGAACCCACCCTCCCCCCAAAACTGCCCACGTGTTATATGAACGACCCCTAACCCCTAACTAGGACACTATTTTGTTTATGATAGTTTCATAAACAAAATATAACTTGTAGAAAAATATGAGTCATAGAAAGATCTATTTTTACATTCTCATCATATGAGAAAGTATTAGTTTTGGTCGAAAATTGACTTTTGCTAATTTCATGAAATCTTGACGTTTTGGGGTCCCCTGAACCCAAAAAACATGGTCCGGCGATGGTGTCTGTCTGTCTGTCTGTAGACCAAAAATTTTGTTCCCACGATAACTCTTGAAAAACTTATCCGATCGTTTTTAAATTTAACACACTTAAAGTTGGTGCAAAAATGAAGGACAAGTTCGTTAACCAGCCATTTTCGTTAAAAAATACAAAAACTACAGTACTTTCAAAATTTTGAAAAATTAATTTTTTCAAATTTTTTCTTTTAGAATCGCTTGATATTGTCAGTTTTTAAAAATATTTATCTTTTTGACAATTTGTTTAAACAATTTTGAGATTAATAAATGAAAGTAAAAGATACTTCCTGTCAATCGTAACTAATAATAATTGTAGATGAAAATAATATCACCAATTTCGTGTTAAAGAAAAGAAAAATTGTCAATAAATAAATTGTTTATAACAATAAATTTTACTAGTATGCACTTGCATATTATAAATATAGTAAATTATAGTAAATTTAATCGGTAAAGTTACATAATAATAAAAAAACAGCTTTTGTTCATTTATTTGTTTATAACAAAGGCAATAACTTTTTAAACAAAATAGTTAATGCCTGAAAACATTCTTAGAACAGTTATATTGTTTTTGGTTATTATTAGTACTATAGTAGACTTTCGTAAGTAACAGTATTTGTTTAAAGTCAAGAAATTTCTGTTTTTTTATGTCACCTTTAATAAACAGCTAACGGAATTTTTCTTTTTGAAATAAAAAACGTACGTTTTATGTAGAATTATCTTTAATTTAAAAAAAATGTTGTCCATTGGTTAAAAATCAATTTGTCCTACGACGTGCTTTTAGCCCCATACGCCTACTCGGTTTTGACCCAGCTATCCCTATCTACTATTCTTATTGTTTCTTATTTATTCTAAATTTTAATTATTATCAGGAAGTGTTAACTTTAAAATTATTCGCACATGACACGTCGTTGCAGTGTAATGGATTTATGCATCCAACGGAATAATAGTGACAGGTATTGAATTTCTTATTTCATTCATCCTACACACTGCAAAGTTGCTTTTGAGATCGCGCGTCTGGTACCAAAACGTGTATATAATAATATTATAATTTTTACAAGTTGCAATTTTGTTGGTCCGCCTGTCTCGTAAATTTCTTGTTTTTAAATTACCCTATTCATTAAGTTGTTTTTTACTCACTAGGATTAATGCATTTTCTTGTTTCAGGTTCAATAATAATGAAAGATTGATGCACATCTACAATCGAGCCGGATCCGAAATCATAGCCGCTCGTTTAGGTTTAGGAATCTCATCAGAAAGTGGAGTATTCGAGTGTCTACCGCAGCACCGAAAACGGAAATCAGTATGCCTTGAATGGCTGGACCAAACCCGACTTTATTTATCTCATGGCGAACGCGATTCAATGGACTGCTATAAATTCATTTGGCAAAGTCTCAGTCCTTCATTCAATCCCAAGGATTGCTTTGACTGGTCACATAATCGTGGTCATTGGTACGGAGGCGGACAAATACAGAACATGGCCTATCCACTCGAGCAAGGCAAACTTGACCTAAGTCCCTTCATAACTGGTGACATTCAAAAGCATCCTTTCGGCAATGTTCTCAAGCGTTATTTTCTTAATTCAAAAGGTGCCACAATTCTTGTCGACCCAGACACACCACTCTATGTCTCAATCAATGCGAATCGTACCAAAGAATTTTGCCTACAAGCAAAATATGATAACTTTGCCTACATCAATCATCCCACTCCACTACCATCATTAAGCTACTCGATTTGTGCCACTGACAATATGAAAAATCTCCACTCCACAATGGCGGAAAAAACACTCTGGGATGGTTTAACACCTGATGAACTTCATGCAGTTCATACACTTCTTACCGAACCAGTTTGGCAAATATCACCTACAAATGAAGCGGCGATCTATAATTACACCGAGGATGTTATACTTCTGGGTTTTTTGCGCCAGGGACATGTTCTACTCAGTGAAGAGTGGCAGGCACATCCTGGTGATTTTGTTCTCGATGAGACACGATTCCCTTCAATGGAGGAGACGATAAATATAATGCACCGAAGAGGTTTTCGAATCGTCTTTTCGATACAGCCGTTCATCTCGACAGAATCACAGAATTTTCAGGACGCTGTGACTAATCGTCTTCTGATTTCTGAGAGGGGCAGTGATCCCAGAATACCAGCATTGACGAGGTATAAAAACATTAGCAGTGCTGGAGTTCTAGACATAACCAATAACAAAACTCTCCCTTGGTTGATGAGCAAACTTGAGAACCTCATTTCCAAATATCATGTGGACTCCTTCTATCTCGATATAGGAACCGCTCATGATATGCCCCAGTATTATAAGTGTGAATACCCACTCACGAATCCCGATCACTATAAGACCATATTCAGCAAAGCGATTTTGAACTCAGTGCCTGTAATTGGAGTTTCTGGTGCGATCTCGAGACCCAAAGCACCTGTCTTCGTTTCCTTACCACCATTCCCTTCGTCTTGGAAGGCAATCAAAACTGTCATTCCAACAATATTAAGTTATGGAATGATTGGATATCCTTTCATCATGCCTGGTGCTGTAGGTGGCGATGTTGCCTTGCCAATGTCAGATAACAATCCCGATAATGATTTTGAAGTCAGCCTACCAGACAAAGAGCTCTACGTCCGGTGGTTGCAATTATCAACTTTTTTACCCGTAATTAGATTTACCCATTTGCCAAGTAAATATGCCGATTCAGAGGTTCTTGATATGGCCCGGCAATTAACGATTCTGCGTCAGAAGACCGTAACCCCTTTGCTAAAGAAATATGCAAACAATACCTTGGACACTGGTCTACCGATCATCAGACCATTGTGGATGCTGGATCCAACGGATCCAGCGTGTCACGTTGTCGTTGATGAATTTTCAGTTGGTGAAGAGTTGATAGTTGCACCGATTTTATACTCCGGAAGTCGGCAAAGAGAAGTTTATTTACCAGCCGGTGTCTGGAGAGACGGTATCGATGGGAGTCTTCGAAAGGGATCAAGATGGATACACAATTATAAGGTTCGAGACGTACAGATTGCTTATTTTGTCAAAATGCCCGACAATACCAGATTTTGACGATCTCCTAAAGGATTTACGTTACTACATGATTTCTTGAAACTGCTATAAGGAAGAAAAAACTTTCTACATCAATGAGAAACTAATTGCAAAAGTAAGAATTCTATTCTAAAGGAAGAGTTTTAGAAAAGCAGGAATCACCAAATAGAATATACTTCCAAAAAGAAGTTGACATTCGAAAAGGAAAAGTGTAAGTTAGTAAAGATTACAATATTTATAGAACTTAACATTTTAAATAGAGAAATATAATTTTGTTAAGTCGAAGTAAAAATTTAAAATGTGAATAATTTAAAAAGAATTTTATCTAAGATTAAAACTGTAAGGAAGAGTACCAAATAAATATTCAATTCTGAAAGAAAAGTTTAAATACAAGTGAATAAATATATTGTATAAGATAAATTTGAAACAAAGAATTAAATGGGCAAAAATAAATTAAATTCTTTTAGGATTAGGCTAATTTACAAGCACACATGTTTTGTTTGGTAATATAAACTTTAAATTTCGAATGTCATAAAGTGACGAGTCATATAAAATATTTTTTGTGATGTCGATTTTATACTGAAAAAAATGTATTTCTGTTATTGTCATAATTATGGCTCATTCTAACATATTGTATTTGTAGATATGGTACGGATATGCAGTGTAGCCTAGCCATACGTATGCGAGAAACAGTATTATGTACATGAACTACACCAATACTGTATTTAAAGAACACCAATACTTTATGCTTAGTTCAGACTATACTTGTATGTCAGTCTTAAGAACATCATTTTTTTCAGTGCAGCCAAGTGCGAAACTTAGTGTGATATTTACATTTTAGTGCATTTATTCATTACATTATAATTAAAAACATTTTTTCCATTTGTAATTTTAAGGAGATTATGGAAATAGAAATTTATTAACATATTAATTCATGTTTTCATATCATTATTAGTTTTCTTATAAATATAATTATTTAAATTTAGATGTAATTTTTATTTAAAGTAAATTCATGATCTTAGTGAAATAAAATTAACAACATAAAGAACTTCCTGTTGACGTGTTTTTGGATACTTTGGAGTTCTGCATCGATAATGCTTATTGTTGTTTCAATGATGGTTTTTATAAACAAATATTTGGAACTCCAATGGGATAATGACCTCCATTATCTGGTGTTGCAGCGTATATCTAGTAATGGAGAGACTTAAAACTGATGTTTTAAAAAAATTGGATTTCCAATATGTTTTCTTATTTAGATATGTGGATGATATTATCACGTGTGTCCACAAGAATAATTTTAATAAGTTTAATAACTTATTATAAATATTTTAATAGTTATAATGAAAATGTACAATTTACCATCGAAATTGAAAATTGCATTGGCTTTTTAGATACTCTCCTCATTAGAGAAGATAACTGTATAATCACAAACTGGTGATACCAGTGATATCATAAAGGAACTTTTTCTGAAAGATATTTAAACTTCAACTCAAAAGTTTCTATTAAGGATAAAATTTCTATTATTTTTGGCTTAAGGTAAAAGCACCGGTACTTGGCCACTTTTAAAATAGTAGCAAATTTAGCAACGATTTTTACAAAGATAATAAAGTTTTACTTGACAAAATTTTCATATTTCGTTTGTGTTATGATTAAAGGACTCAAATAAAAGAAATTCGTCTAAATTTTTATTTTAGTTAAATATAAATCTAGACAATAAATAATTCCTTCTTTACCGTTATAGTTGGACATGCCATTTTAGGGGGTCCAGTAGTTGGACATAGTATAGAACGGTGTGTAAAGTGATTTACTTCACGCACCGAAATTTACTTTACGCACTGAAATTTTTTCACACACTATAAGACCATATAAAACCACAAAATTAAAAAAAAGTTGTTTAATGATGTTTTACACGATCTTCGATTAAGTTTATAAGTTATTTTTCTCTGTACAATTGAAATTATTCTAATAAAGAGTTTTTATTGGCTTAACTTTTTTCACTTTCGGTTTCACACCGCGTATGGCGCTGAGGCTAGAGCCCCATGGTAGCGTTTTGCGTTGCGTTTTGTAACTAGGCAATGAGTGCAAATAGAGCAAACCTATATCTGTATCTCTCTCACACTTATGGCCTAGTTACAAAACGCAACGCAAAACGCTGTCATGGGACTGCACCCTGATCGTTGATTGGTCAATAATCTTATAGAGATATTATCAGCCAATGAAAAACTGTTACTAGAAAATTTACTAGACCTTACTAGAAAAGTTAGTTACCTATCTATCTACTGAGCATTGATAGTTCATGTTTTGTATTGACATGATTGACATCGTCACAATCTGTTCAAAATATTGACAGGTCATTTGTGTAAAGTGTTCAATTGAAAATGATGGACATAGGTTCCGATCATTCCGATAAAATGGAATTTACCCCTCCAGAACTTGCAACAGCAGCTAAAACTGCATCAGAAAATGTGTTGCCTGAAAAGTCAAAGAAAATTTATAACGCTGCTGTGATAAATTTAGGGCTTGCAATCCCACACTATCGTCAATCCCGCGGGACTAGAATGCGGGATAACTCTCAATCCTGCGGGATCCCGCATCATTTTATGTTATTAGCTATATTCTAATTTTTTAATAATTATTAGATAAAATTTTATTAAAACGTTTTATTTATTCAATTGAATACATTGTTACAATGACTTAGAGCCAATTTGAAATCTAAATTTTTATTTAAAAATTTTTTTTAAACTATTGAAATCCTATTTTTGAAGAAATTTTTATATAAGTTTGGCTATGTCTATAAATAAATTTTTTATTATTGCACAACTTCACTTGTTAAACTAAGTTTGAATGTAAATTAAGTATTTTTAAATTAACGTAAATTTTTCCATTAAATGGAAGTTTCTAATTTTCATTTTGAAAATAAGATCTTAAGAAACAAAGAGTATCGATGGTATTATCTGCTAAACTACTTCTAAGTTTATTACAGAGATATTCTGCGGCAGAAAATCCTCGTTCAGATTCCACACTAGTTGGTGTAACAGTCATTAATAATGTTCTTAAAAGATTCAACTTAACCCATCCCTAGTAGAAATTTGTCCTAGTTATTATAACGGAACTGTCCAGTCGCGCTTGAAATTGTCTAGTTACTTTACAAGCCAACTGGCTAATAACTGGAATGGAGTGTCACGCTTTTTTCATCAAGTTATTATCTAGCCCAACTTTATAAATTCTGGTCAACGGTTCTGTAGAAAAACTAGACAAATTAATTCTTTTAAAATACTGAAAATTTGTATAATATTAAGATTTACTGTAGTCAACACATTTATTTCATGCAATTAATATAAAATTTCTATTTAGCACCAAAGAAATTCAATAAAAAATATTTTTGGAAAATTTCTGTATCCATTATGATATATACATAATAAATGGAATAGAATAAAAAATTATAAAATATTTTATAATTTTTAATTAATTAGTTAAATTATTATATAAAAATAATGTAAATAGTAAATTATTACATATAATTTTCTACATTACTTTTTGATTTTTAATTCAATTAAAAAAAATTCTAAATTCGAATATCCTAAATATTTACTGTTTTCAAACAACTTTCATTTTTTTAATGTACTATTATTAACAATAACACTGAATCAAATATTTTTTATTAGTATAAACAATTATAATCTATATAAACCTTAAAACGATAACGCAATTTCACCGAAAAAATCTTGGGGAGTAACGAGGAGCGAACCTGGGTCCCGCTGGACTAAAGTACCCAGGCGCGAAGTGACGCCGAGTTCAGGCTTTATAAAGATTGGCCGAGCATTGGTCAACATTGATTGAGCATGAGTGAATCAGCGAGAGCAGGAATGATCGAAGCTTTAATGTAACACCGATTCCAGACTGCAGCGCGAGCCTTGATTCAGCATTGGACACCAATGCTCAATCAATGCTGCGGAAGCCTAATGCAGGACTGAAACGAGACTGCTTCCACTGTTCCCAAATTTACTCGTTTCTCACTTTTATTCAATATAATGTGAATATATGAATTATTAATAATAATAATAAATATTATTGTTATTATTTTAATTCATGTATGTGTATATATATATTTAATGACAATAAGTTACTATTATAATAATTATATTATTTCCATATAAATAATATATTACTAACAATAAATGTCATTTGAAATAGTAATACTAAAAAAATAATTTTAGTAAAAAAATACAATTTTTCTGTTAATCGATACATTTTTTTCTTGATTTTTTAACAGACTTTTATAACATTATTTGCAAACCATGTTCACATTTTTTATTCACAACACAACAAACAATTTTATTATTTTATATGACGCTTAAAACAAAGAATGAAAAATATTCGCTCGCATGTGGTATCGAACTCACGCCCCCCGCCCCTAACGCATACCGGAAGTATCTAACGCACGCATTTAAACCGCTCGGCCACAAAAGGCTGGAAGGCTTCTCGCCTAATCTACTATATCAATGCCAGTGCCGTCACTCAATATTGGTTCAGCATGGGACACCAGTGTTCGTCCCATGCTCGATTCAAGACTCGGTCAATCTTGATACTATATTCAGTTTCTTTATTACCCTGTGCACTGTACAATATTATCTATAAATATTTATAAATTATTTAATATTAAAATATTTTTTATGATAATTTTATAAGTTAAATTATATATATATTTTTTTTCTTGTACAGTGTCAAATTACTATTTTCAAAGTTCAAGAGTTTCGTTTATCTGAAAAATTTTTAGTGAAAAAAATGTTCATGAGGTAGTAATAAATATTTATGCTTAGTAGTTTTACACTAGGATTAACTGTTTAGTAAATATTATCAAAAAACTATTTTTTGTCAAACGCGCGCGACTAAACACAAATAACCTTGAAACTCCAGCATTACCAACTCAACATATACGTTAAACTCTTGAGTTGGCAATGCTAAAGTCTCAAGGTTATTTGTATTTAGTCGCACGCGTTTGACAAAAAATAGTTTTTTGATAATATTTACTAAACAGTTGATCCTAGTGTACAACTACTAGGCATAAATATTTATTACACCCTAATGAACATTTTTTTCACTGAAAATTTTTCAGAAAAACGAAACTCTTGAACTTTGAAAACAATAATTTGACACGTGCAAGAAAAAAATAATAATATATAATTTAACTTTATTTATATGAATCTTATATAATTAATAGTAATAAATAATATAATAATAACAATATAAAAATAATTATTATTATTATTATTATTATTATTATTATTATTATTATTATTAATAATTAATATAAATATTATACACTAAATAAATATTAATATTTATTTACAAATTGATATCTTAATAATAATAATTAATAATAATTTTTAAATAGTATACAAAATTATCATAAAAAATATTTTAATATTAAATAATTTATAAATATTTATATCTAATATTGTTAAGTGCACACGGTAATAAATAAACTATCAAGATTGATTCAAGCTTGAATAAAGATGGGATGTTTAAGCTTTACTCACAAAGATTGACCGAGTCTTGAATCGAGCATGGGACGAACATTGGTGTCCCATGCTGAACCAATATTGAGTGACAATGATATAAAGACTGCTTCAACTCTGGGTTACCCATGCTGGGCGTTCAAGACTCAATCAAGCTTCAACCCATCGTCAGCATTGGTCTTTCGCGCCTGGGTAATTGTATAATTGTATAATTAGTATAATTATACAATTAAGTATAATTGTATAAACAATTATAATCTATATAAACCTTAAAACGATAATGCAATTTCACCGAAAAAATCTTGGGGGGTAACGAGGAGCGAACCTGGGTCCCGCTGGACTAAAGTCGCACCGCTTAACGAACACAGCCGTTCAACGCAATGGATACTGAGAATTAATAACCACTGCACATATGTTTCAGTTCAGTGCCGTAACTAGAGATTTTAAGCATTGGTATATACTTTTAATATTTTCTATGTAATAAAACATTTTAGATGATTTTTTAATTATTATAACTTTTTAGTAATTTAATTTGCAACGTTAACAATTAACAAATAAATTGATTACTGTAATTAAATTTTAAATTATTTTTATTAATTTATTATAAATTATTATAAATATTTATTAATTAATTTTATTATTTAATATGATTAATTGATTATTAATTAATAATAATAAATTCATTAAATTTTAATTAATAGAAAATTATAATTAAACTAAAATGGAATTTAAAAAAATTAATTTTTAAATAATTTTATTATTTTTATATTTATTATAAATGATTGTAAATATTTATTAATTTATTTTATTAATTATTAATGTTATTAATTAATTTTATTGATTGATATTATTAATTTATAATAATAAATTAATTAAATTTTTAATTAATAACAAATTAAAATGAAAGGTTTTAAAATATTGGAAAGAATAAGAACAAATTTATCTCTAGCAAATAATCAGTCGAGCTGTCTAGTTATTAGACATTATTGCAGTGTCATCGACACGACAAACTTAGAACTATAATTTCTAGGAGTACTTTAAAGTAACATTAAAAAAACTAGACAGAAGTTATGTCTAGCCAATATCAAATTCAACTTGAATCTTTGACGAAGACCGTTGGTCAGTAACTTTACAGTTATTTACCAGTCCGCCTAGAATCAGCG